TAAGATATAGGAATAACATAGAATATAGGCCCCTTCAGCATAGTAGAATAAAACAAGTGATGTAACTCTATACAAAATAACAGCACGACAACTGCCGCGCGCCGTGAACGGCCGCACATATTCGATAATGAGTGAGTTAAGATGCAAATGTATCAAAAAATGTAAAATCCGTACGCGACGCGCGACTGGCGCGCACATATACAAGCCGTGCTGCGACGTTTGTAGACACAAACCTTTGTACGGAGTTACCATACTTGTTTTTATTTTACTATCTTTTTAATCTCAGAAAAGGAGAATTCGGAGTACCCCTTCGCTGACCCGCTTCGTAGACGACGGCCGGGGACACGAAGGAGGCTGCTGCCTACCTTTATCCGAGGGCTTGGAGACCCCTTACCACCAAGCTTGAGGGGTTATGTCACTGTGAGCTATCCGCCGATACGTCCCAGTAGTACGCGCAAGCGGATCCTAGGACGCCTCTCTATGGCGATGGAGTTAAACTCTGGGTTTTATTGGGTATATGGGACTACCGCTCGGGAGTCCCACACAACCGCTCGATGCTCTATTTCCAAGCGACAAAGAAAAAGTATATATGCGGCATTCGCTCGGTTCTGATCTTGTCGCATCCATCGCATCCCATCCATCCATTGCTCGTCACTCTATCTGGCCAGATGGCGTTTTACGCTACATTTCAGTTTTACGCTACTTTTCATTTCAGGAACTACTTTCCCCCATCGGCTATCAGTTTTTCGACAAATGTTTTTGTAGCAGTAGAGCTCCTTGAGAAAGAATTCGTCCAAGGAAGTACTGTAACCATACCTACTTCTGCCAAGCAGTAATTTGAGCATTACTGCGTTCAGGTTTAGAAGGGTAAGGTGAAATTACAGGCACATGAGACTTGTCAACTTATATCTCAGGGTGACAAGCGCAGTAGCAGTATCCCACAAATCTTTGCGATTTAAAGCTCTGGTCGTCCCGTCATTCGATATCACAAAAACAATATGGTCAGCCCACTGCCACTTCACCCCGCTTATGCTAACAGCTATGTTGGCAAAGTTGGTTCTCTGTCGGATGACCTCATTTCGAATTTTATCCTTCAGAGAAACTTCGGACATAGCCAAGCGACTTTGAACTGGTGGACTAGCCATATCATGAGTCATGCCTTGACTATGTCTTAAGCATTGATTGAAAAGTTTTCTTTTTAAACTTTGTGGTATGGGTGACAAGAAGACCTAGTCTAAGAGTCGTATTCTAGAACTATACTCAATGCTCAAGTCAGGACTTCAGTATGATTCAAAGCACTAGAAATCATACTCAAGTCCTTGCCATTAGGGTCGTATTTCCAGTGCTTGAAATCATACTCAAGTCTGCTCAAATCCTGACTTGAGCATTGACTAGCGAGTTGTAACCGTAGCCGTTATGTTACCAAAAATCTTAGTATGTATGTGGTTCGTGAGCTGGCCGCGAGCGAAACGCGTGGCAGCTATTCATTCATGGGAGTGACTGCTTCACGCGTACTCACTGGAATCTCGTTACTGTATCTGTCACGTTACAGTTACAACTCGCTAATGAGTACCCGGCTTTAACGTGTAAAATGATTAATGACATTTCAATGTTCATCGATATTTTTTATTTATTTATTCATTTAAATCAGGCAAATATGACCCATATAATACCTGTATACCTTAAAGAGATTTCGGGTAGCTTCATGAATTTTCATACAATGTATACGTATGAAACAAAAATAAAACTGTGTAAATAAGGCAGACTATTTCTAAACTCACTAATACCTTTTTCATGATACCCAGTAACGGGACGAACAAGATTTGGGCCTGGTGGTAAGTTGAACTCAGAGCCTTAAATCGCAAAGATGTGAGGTGCACTGCCACTGCGCCCATGACCCTGAGACAAGTTGATAAGTCCCATGTGCCTGTAATCACACCTTACCCTTCAAAACCGAAACGCAGTAATGCTCACATTTAGTAGCAGTATTTCCCCGGATGAACTCTTTCACAAGGAGTTCTACTGCTGCAAAGCATGAATTTAAGGGACGTATCATTTTTCTAAAATTATTTTCAAGGAAAGGCAAAGGAGATTACGTCCATACAGCCAAGTCTGTTGTGTATTTTACAAAGCCTGAGGGACATACCAAAATGAGAATGGCTCATTTTAATAAAAATGTCATCGAACTATGACTCACGCATGACAACAGTTTATTATTTATTATATGCCTCCAGTATATACTGGCTATAACTACACTCATGAACATATTTAAATAAATCATAAAAATAATGATGATGAAAAAAATGAATTCTTATAACAATGTTCACAATGAAACACTGGCTACATATTTTAGAACGTTTAATCGAAATCAAAAGAAGATTGTAGGTAGTTTTAACCGATTTCACAAAAACGGAGGAGTTTATACGTTTAGCTGTATGTATGTTTTATGAGTATTTTTCGATTTCTCCGTCAATTGCGGACCGATTTTGAAAATTCTTTTTTTTTTAGTTGAAAGGGCGCTCATGGTGGTCCTTGTTCGTTCGTTCGTTCGTGTCCGGGTTCGTTGGGGCTATCACAAATTACTAATTATTTTCCGCAAATAACAGTTCACTTTTCGCTTGACATAATACATGTAGCTCATTAACAAATCACCGCCATCATGAAAACCAGAAGAACGTTTAAAATGTACAAAGAAGTCCGTATCAGTCCCATTGTCACCAAGGAGTCGGAGTTTGATGAGTGGATTTCACGGAAATTGAAAAAAGCCATAAGCAAACTTCTGAGGTCCGTTTTTTTTCATGAAACAGTTACAATTATTCACATTAAACGTCCCGGTATATGTGGCCTGTGGTTCATTATGAACGCTGTTATTATAGTTCAACCTTTTTCAGTATTCCTCTAAATACGTCCTTGAGTATGATACATGCGTACTACCACTATACAGGCAGTGGGTTAAAGCCTAACCAACTCAACTGGGTTGTAACTAGGTTTTTACCCAAAGCGCTGGTTTTAACCCAATTCTGCCCAAAATCGTGAAATTTCATACTTATTACAAATAATGACGTAAAAAATATTTTATCTACACACATAATCATAGACCCTCTGAGATGTGTTCAAAAAGCGCAAATTGCAACCAGCATAAAGATAAACTGTTTTGTTAGAAAAAATTTCTTATCTGTGAAAATATTATTATTGCTTCATATTAACATCGAATTCGATTTTATTATTACATTCAAATTTCGAACATCTCTGAAAAACAAAAGAAATTTGCTTCGACCTCAATTCTAATATCAGTCGAGATGAAGTTTTATTCGAAATTAAATGTCAATAAGAAACAATTCTGACAAATTTCACACGTTACTTGATAACGAACGATATGATAGTGGGGCCGACTCTAGTTTGTCTATGAATTTAAAAAAAAACTACGGTTGTGTGACAAGCGTGAGAAAAGTTTTTATTTGCCGCCATTTCGCCAGTCGTAACATGTGGTTCCTGAACACATCATAGAGAGCTATAATACGTGTATAGATAAAACAGTATTTATAACTGTACATAATTAGGCATTAAAACACACACTCGTATTTTAACGCCTTTCATTATATAACAGTCTCATAAACTACAATTTTGAACGAAAGGGAGGCAACTCCACACAACACACAATACCCACTTTGCAATCCTGTGGATTCTCCTCACTAAGAACATACATTACGATTCGATTTTTATGAACATCGATTCAAATGTATACCTACTACGATCCTACGATTTTTTATATAGATTTATTTGAATTCCATCGAGACTTGGAAATGGAATTCGTAGACAAGATAGTACAAAAATTCACCGAAGCCCACCAACGCAAGCTTCACCATCATGTGAACGTCGAGGCCATTCAACTCCTTGAACATACAAATATCATAAGACAATCAATACGGACAAAACCATATGGACTTGTGTAGTGTTAATGCAAGATTAAATTAATTAGTGCCAGTGGCACTGAACTAAAAGACTACGTGATAAAAGTGTATTCGCCTTAATAGATGATAAGACAATTGCTAGTGGGTGAATTCTTAGTATAATTTGTTTATTTATTAGATATAGATATTAGCGAATCGATTCAATAGAAAGGCAAATCGAATAGTGTAGATCAGAAAACAATAAACATTTCGTAATAATGTCATTAAATTTGAACAAAACTCGTATCGCAAAAAATATTTACTTGTAAATAGTTTTGCCCTCGATTTCAGGCGTTAATATGTTTTAACCCTACCCCGGCTAACAAATAGCCGGGTTAAAACCCGATCGCTTGTTCATCACTAAATGCCTTTATTCGCTACTCTCCTGGTCACTGAACGATAACTACAGTAGAAGTGGTTAGTTAGCATCCGACGCGTGCCAACACTAGGTCTCGAAAGACCTACTTGAAGTTAGTCCAACATTTTCGCTTTGTATGGTATGGTTGTGTGTTTCTTTCGTGCAAATTCTCGAAAATCTAAGAAAAATGCCTTATTGTGCTGTTTTGGAGTGCAAAAATGCTAGCCGAACCAAAAATATTACCCGTAGCAGTATTTCATATCATCGGTAAGGCTTATTTTAATAAATTTTCAATTTTCTGTCTATCGACTTGATTCAGATGTTAATCGTTCGTCGTAGTGCAGCTACTGGCCGCGAGATGGCAGCACGTTGAATAAAATTTCAATATAAAAAACCAAACCAAACGTCATAACTTGCAAGAAACCTATTGAACTTTCAACGATATAGCGACTGGGTAAAGTTTAAATTACGTTAACAATCTAGAATTTCTTACATCTTTTTAAATTAGAAACTGTATCCAATCATTGGCAAGATTTCGTAATTTTTATCATTTGTTTGTGTGCGTGTTGGCGACAGCGATTCCGATAGTAATCGAGGCTTGAGGCACATCCATTTTTTTTCCGTGCTCCTGACGCACACTTTTCGCTTCCTCCATTTACAACACTATAATAAGTTTCTACACACACGCTCACCTTAGTTTGGTAAGGACCAAGACAGCAGGTTTCGTATCGCTCCTAAAGGTGGCTCTGGCGCCGAGAGTGGAAGGGTCGGACCAGTGTGAAGTCACGCCTTCTCTCGTGTCCAACCTGTTGACAAAGAAAACAAAATTAGATATACAGATAGATAGAAAAAACTTTATTCATTTCCGCGACAACTTACAAAATTATTATACTAAAACACTTAAACGCCGACACTACCTTAGCTCGAGTTAAAATTATGTTTTCCTGTATTATAAATAAAAAAATTAAAAGTGTTTATTTACGTTTACTTAAACCTAGTTTACAGCAAGTTTGCTGGGGAACTCCATTTAAGCTAAATAATTGCTTGTGCTAGGAGACCCCGCTCTTCCATGTTAGGGTTGTATGTGACCTGGTAAGTTACGACTAGTTAAGTTACAGGATGTATGTAATTAATTAAATTAAAATTGCAAAGAGAATAACATCATGTGTGTGTGTGATCATGTGTGTGTGTGTGTGTGTGTGTGTGTGATCGTGTGTGTGTGTGTGTGTGTGTGTGTGTGTGTGTGTGTGTGTGCGTGTGTGTGTGTGTGTGTGTGTGTGTGAGCGTGAGCGTGAGCGTGAGCGTGTGCGTGCGCGTGCGCGTGCGCGTGCGCGTGCGCGTGCGTGTGTGTGTGTGTGTTTTAGCGTAACTCTACGTGAATTCGCAAAATATGTAGGAGTGCAGTATATCTAATGTAAGATGTCCATAAGGGATTCAGTCTGTTCATAATTTAAAGTCTGCAGCCAGTCATACACAACTTTTTTGCAATCGTGGGTCTTTAAAGGGTAAATCAAGAGATTTTGATTAATTTTCGTATACAGGTAAGATAATAAGATAAGATAAGACGCACGCCTGTTAAATTGTCTACCAGCAAAGGTTGTTTTTACATTATCGTAGGGAATCACAATATATTGAATCGGTTCTATTTATTGCTCGGATCGGTATATTTATTGAGTAGCGTCTTGATATTTTAATTAGTAAAAATACGACGTTCTTTTTTGAAAGTCATTATAGTTCTGTGTACAGAACATTCATTGAATTTTTCAACTCAGTGGCGAGTACCATAGACAATAGAATTTTGATTATCAGAACTAAAGAGAGCGCCTATATGATATGGTTTACGAAATTATAATTGACAGATGAAAGTCCTGAATAGTACTGCCACCTTACCTATTTCTGCCGCCAAGCAGTAATATCAGCATTGCTCCTTCCGGTTTTGAAGAATAAGGGTGCTGGTGAAATTACAGGCACATGGGACTTACTTAGCACGACTTGTTCGTTTGACCATCACTTGATATTATTATAAAAAAAAGTACAAGAGCAGGAAATATTGGTTACGATATTTTAAAAGTCGAAGTTGTACAATAACAATATTATCCTGCCTTCTAAACTAGGGGTTTATCTTAGGAGGCAAGCAACAAAGGCGGAATGATAATTCAACGTAAGATCAATCGGAATATTCATAAAAAACCTCTGGCTATATATATATATATATAAAAGAATCTTTCATCGAAATCAAAAGTATATTAAAATAAAAACTTGATAATTGCAATGATTAAAGCAACATTTCCAACAAGTACATAGAAAAATTCGAAAGTGCTCTGGTTTGTTCTCTGGCTTAGTTGGCAAAGCGTCTGCCACGGTTTGCTAAAAGACGTCGGTTCGAATCCGGCCGGATCGAAAGAATTTTTTCTGCGTGTTCGATCTTTGTTATTAATAATTATAACTAACGGTGGAGCAATAGTTTAGCAGAAGTAGAGCTCCTTGTGAAAGAGATCAGGGAAGCACTGCCACTTTCTGCCGCCAAGCAGTAATGTCAGCATTACTGTGTTCCGGTTTTGAAGGGTAAGGGTGCTGGTGAAATTACAGGCACACGAAACTTGTCAACTTATGTCTCAAGGTGACGCAGTGGCAGTGCCCCTAAGATCTTTGCGATTTAAAGCTCTGAGTGGCACTGTAACTGTTATGGACAGGCGTGTAGCTTACCATCAGGCGCACGACTTGTTTGTCACTAGATATTATATCTATAAAAAAATATTGTCATGGTAGTATAATATCATGATATTATATTGAAATATTTTTTATTTCAAATTAAACTCTGTCTCGGTGGGAGACAGGTGTGGTCATAAGTATGAGTTTTTTTTTTATTTCATTTTCGAATGTCTTTTTATTTCCTTCCATTTTAAGTTGTAATGAATATTGAATGCAACTAATGAATATTTTCAATTACATTTTCTATATACTTAATAAAGAGATAATGACGTCAATGTTCCCCATGTGCTTATACTACACACGCCGGCAAATTTAGCGGAACGCTTGTAAAACCCAATATGCAATGTTTTTTGAAAAACCTTAGCGACTGTGGTTTTTTTTCATTCACTTGTTTTAATTTAACTTTTTAAAATTTAGTTTTAAATTAATTTCGTAAACATTAGTTAGAAAATTATTAAAACAAAGATCGAACACAAAGATCTTATCTATTTTTGCCGCCAAGCAGTAATGTTAATATTACTGCGTTCCGGTTTGGAAGAGTAAGGGTGCTGGTAAAATTACAGGCACATGGGATTTGTCAACTTATGTGTCAGAGTGACGGGCGCAGCGGCATCGCAACTTTTAGCAGCAGGCGTCATTATACAACAGGTGCACGACTTCTTCGTCCCTTTACTTGGTATTATAAAAAAAAACCCCTCGACAAATAAAACCCTAAAAGGATTTGAACTTGCTTCTATATACCAAACTAAGGCAACCACTCTACCAACCGAGCTACAGGTCGAGTCGGTAGACTTTACGAATTTCTCTAATACAAATCTAATGTATTAGATTTTTTCCGGCTTAATCATGGTATTTAAACAACATCATCATCATCGAAAGATCTTTATTCATTACAATTTTACTTAATCAACGTACAAAACTACTACAAATTTTAAAATTTCCAAATCATTTTTGCTTTTTTTATGATACCACAATCACAACACGAACAAGTTGTGCGCTGAGTTGTAAGCGACACGCCTGTCCATAGCAGTTGCACTCAGAGCTTTAAATCGCAAAAGTCTGACAGACGGACACTGTTACTGCTCCCGTCACTCCGAGACATAAGTTGAAAGTTTCATGTACCTGTAATTTCACCAGCACCCTTCCCCTTCAACACCAGAACACAGTAATGTTCACATTACTGTTTGGCGACAGAAATATGTAAGGTGGCAGTACTTTTTTTAGTAGCAGTAGAGCTACTTGCGAAAGATTTCGTTCAGGGCAGTACTGCCAGGCGGCTGGCTTATGCCCGCCAACTACCGCCCTGAGAGTAAAAAACGGGGGCTTTTGTCACCCATAAGATAAGGGTTCACGGGTTGGTTAATGTGCCAAGTATTTTCGGCATGCCACTAACGATGGAAGGGGAATGATGATCCCCAGGGGTGAGTCCGCGGAGGCGGACAACCGCAGATGGGGCAGTGGATCGTAAACCACGTGGTCACAGCCTCGTCTCACGCGGGGTGTGGGAATAACCGGGGGTTTTTAGTGAGTAAGAATTTCAACGTAATGTGACTACCGCGATTTTGAAATAATAGGCACATGGGATTCGTCAACTTATGTCTCAGGGTGATGGGCACAGTGGTAGTGCCCTTCCGATCTTTGCGATTTAAAGCTCTGAATGGCACTACAACTGATGTGGATAGGCGTGTAGCTTACTATTAGGTGCACGACTTATTCGTTCCGTCACTAGATTTATAATGCTATTAAAAAAAACAAACTTCTCTGGACGAACTCTTTCACAAGGAGCTCTACTACTAGCTTACTATTTAAGTTCTTATTTAATATTCTCAGTTTTATTTTGTTCCGCTAAATATGCCGGCGTGTGTATTATATATCTCACAACGTATAATGATAATCTAAATAATCTGTCAGCTATGTCAGCCTTCGTTTAGCTGTCAATTTAGAATTTACTTTTATTTTTCTAATCGTCTTAGAGTCACTCGTGATGAAGAGATTTGGTTTATAAAAACGGATGTCGGGTGTCCGTCATAGTACGTGCATAAGGCTCATTGCAAACGATCGACCATCGATAGAATTACTGTCGATTAGAAGTCGTTTGTGAAAATTGTGCGGTGGTTTACAATATCACAATTAGAATTATTTTTAAACATTTCGTGAGTCCTAAAATGTTAGTTTAAAAAAACTAAATAAGCTATTCAGATCCGAAAAAAGTAGTCTCAATTCCAATATATGGAAGATGATGAGAATCACCACCTTTCGGGTACAACTCTATTAAATCAGTGTGTTAGATTGCACTTGACTGATATTTGATAACAATAGTATTAGTATATATACGGCTATATCCCACGGCTATGCCACACGGAGGTAAAGTACCTTAAGGGTCTATAATACCTCAAATGGCTTTGGTTGAGCCCGCATAACAGTGAAAGTGTTGAATAAATCGCTTTGAAAAAAATACATACTAAAAAATTTCACGATAGAAAAAATACACAAACTTACATCGAAATTTTACAATAAAACCGCTGTTCAATACGTAATTTACGTATACCAATATTTTTTTTTACTATCTGAACTAAACAGAACACGTGTACTATACGATATACAAAATATATAAAATATAAAGGATATATAAAAGGCTTAAATTTCGTTTGTAAAAAAATTAATATGAAATAAAGCCAGCGTCCTGCCTCTCGACCTGAGTGAAAAAAAACCGTATTAATATGGTAAAAATTAGATTTCAAGCTGAGGAAGCATCGACTCTTAAATACTGTACGATAGAAAATTTTACTGAAAGAAAACTCCATTTTCATTTTCAACTGCATTCAAAGATTTTTAAACAATCACCTGTCTGAAACGGCAATCGAACTCACCAAATGTGAAAAAAAAAAACCTGTCATTTTATTATACTGATCGAAAGCCTTAATCATAAGGATTGTTTCCTTTTAAATAACATAGCATCTTAAATACAAGGAAGACCTTGAATGCAGGTTTGCTTACGAAGTTTTCCTTTACCGAAAAACTCGTGGTAAATGTCGAACTAAATTTCGCATTTATATAATAAATAAATAAATAAATAACGCACACACTCAACATA